TGCCATGAGCTCAGCTCACCTGCCCTTATTAGCAGGCGGAATTCATAGTTGGCTGGCTGGGTGTCCTCTCCTGCTTATCTTTCCAGTGAATGCAGGCAGGGCTGATCCTGCCAGGCAGATTTCCAGCCCGGATGCCGGATAACGTTCCAGGGAACGGCCAGGGGAAGAACAACCGAGCACAGTAACATGACATCTTTTCCCTCTGCCGCTTCCTACCCTGACAGCTCACCTTGGGACGCTGCACCTTGGGCCCACCGCTATAATGTGATATCCGCGGATGCCATGGACAGAATCCAATGTGTCAGCTTAGGTTCAAAAATATGTCTCTAGTAGCTTTCATTTCCATTTTTCAATTTGCCTGGTTATCTTTTAATTCCCTTTTTTCCCCTCCACATTTGCATCTCGGTTTCTGTTTATTTGTTCCATTTTCTTCTGAGATGTTGAGGCAGGGGATTTATTCTCTTTAAAAAAAAAAAAATATATATATATATATATATATATATATACACACACACACACACACACACACACACACGACTTTTTACAGAGAGGAAGAGAGAGGGATAGAGAGTTAGAAACATCTACCAGCTGCCTCCTCCACACTTCCCACTGGGGATGTGCCCACAACCAAGGTACATGTCCTTGACTGGAATCTAACCTGGAACTCTTCAGTCCGCAGGCCGATGCGCTGTCCACTGAGCCAAACTGGTCAGGGCGGGGGTTTGTTCTCTTAACAAACTATTTGGGAAGCTATTTGGGAAGTGATTGGTTTTGATAATTTACTTGCAGTGCCCCTCAAAGAATAGCCCGGCAAACAGAAGACTTACAAACATATTAGTGAGCAGCGTTTGGCCCTGGTCACAAGCTCCACTCGGTGTATTAGGCATAGTCCATCCAATCTTGCCGAATTCTAGTCCTTGTCCGTTGAAAAATCCAATGAAGGAAACACACACAGAGCCCACTAAATCTGTGTCGTCCCCCCCTCCTTCAGATTTCATGTATTAAAATCCTAATCTCCGAGGCGGTGGCATATGGCAGTGGGACCTTTGGGAAGCTCGTATATCATGAGGATGGTTGAAAAAACAAAATTCAACTGAGTAAATGTTACAGATCTTATTGGCCTTATGCAGCGACTCATGAGTCGCACAGCCTGCCATCCAGCGGATAGAAAGGAGCTCCCGGGAATGAGGTGAAACGGCAGGTCTTTCCAGGCAGGAAGGGGGAAGAAGTGGACTGCTTCAGGCGTGTCCCCTTGCTTTTGTGGACGAAAGGGGTCTGACCTCACTAGCGCTGGCCAGGATGTTCCAGCCTCCATTTAAGATTATGTTCCTGGGATAGGCCGAAGCTGCGGTTAGGTTAGATGTCGAATCTCGGTTTGGCGACACAAGTGACTCCATTTGGGGGCTGTTGTCTCTATGTTCACAGAGCTGGGCCCTCGTGGATGGGACTGACTAGTGCATTTACCAAAGGGGCCCAGGCAGTTCCCTCTCCTCTTTGCTGTGTGAGGACACAGAGAAAAGACAGTCATTCATGACCTAGGAAGAGGGCTCTCATCAGACACAGAATCTTCCAGGGCCTTGATCTTGGACTTCCCAGATTCCAGAACGGTGAGAAATAAGTTGTTGTTGTTTAAACACTACTCAGCTTTTGTCATTTCCAACATTTAGACTTGTTCCTAACAGCAGGGAACATCACGTCCCTGATCTCCATTCCACTCATCGTAGGCAACTTTTTTTTTGTATCCAGCTCTTGTATGAGTGCTGTCACTATTAGTGAACCTTCTTATAATCAGATTATCCATCCTCTTGGTCACACCGGCTAATGTATATGAGCATAAGATTTGAATATTGTTATCATATGCCTGATATGTTTAGTTGGCAAAGCGGTACCACCCCCTTATGTTATATATACTCTCAACGTTGCATGATTGTTTATAAAGAACAAGTCCCCGAGGGTCTCCTAAATGTAAAGGGCCTTGGGATATGTCTCCAGGGGGCACAGACAATATATTCCTTCAACAGGTGCATCTGCTTATTCCATTTTATCAGTCTTTGCCTCGGGCTAGGTGGGATGCCCCCAACAAACAGCAATAACGGTGAGACCCAGTGGATGGCTGCATTTTCCCCTTTTATTAGCTTTCTAAATTATTTGAGGTACTCTCCCGGGAGAAATTAGGGGGTGTGGTCTTGCTGGAAGGCTCAAGAGCAGATAAGGTCTCATTGGGGAGTAGAGGTGACATTTTATGGCTCTGCATTTCTCTCACATTGCTCATTTTTTGGAGTCTCCTTTAGCAAGTCTCTCCTTACGAAATTCTCCAACCCACAAAGAATATTTCTTCAAAATATGGTCATCGTTCATTTCCCCCAAAACCAGCCTGGACTCACATGGATTCAGAGGGGCTAGCTCCATTTCTATGGAATCAGAAGCAGCCAGTGTGACAACTTCTAGTGCCCTGATCTCTTCCTTCTTTTCTTTCTTCTTTGCTACCTCTTCAATTTCTCCATGTGACCCTCCTGGCTGGCCATGCCTTAAACTTTCCCATGGGAAGCTTGGTGGTTGGCACTCAAAAGTAAAGAGCTGGGTGTCTCCAACTTCAGGTTGCAACTCTCCAGTTCTCAAAATTTCTTTCTTTGAGATTTATTACAGTGGCACATTACTAAGACATTGTAATTCTCAGAGTATAACTGCATTTTATTCTAATACTAAGTTCAAAAATTACCATAGCCTTGTATCTACCGTGTTTCCCCGAAAATAAGACATCCTCCGAAAATAAGACCTAGTGCATGGAAAAATAAGACATCCCCTGAAAATAAGATCTAGCGCATCTTTGGGAGCAAAAATTAATATAAGATACTGTCTTATTTTCGGGGAAACAGGGTATATATCTATATGAGAGGCCTGGTGCACAAAATTCATGCATGGCTGGGGATCAGGGTTGACCTGTGGGGTGATCTGGGAACCCCCTGCTGGCACCCACCTTGGTGGACCTGGCATCAGCCGCTAGCCAGCTCCACCCCCTGCCACCGAGGCTGATAACCTCCCTCAGTGGGGCAACCAGCGGGGCAATCAGGGGTTCCTCCCCTGGCTGGCCTGGGGCCTGCGGGCAGCTCCTGCATTGAGTGTCTGCCCTCTGGTGGTCAGTGCGCATCATAGCAACTGGTCAGTCCATGGATAGTTCTGCCCTTTGGTTGATTTGCATATTAGGTTTTTCTTATATAGGGTCTATGTATCTTAAAGGATCACAACTCTTATGCAGTACAGATTGAGTTTTGGAACAAAGTTAATTCAATAAATATTTACTGTGTGTCTTAAGAACCAGGAACGAGAAAAACAGTGGTGGACAAGATGGCTAGCAGCAGTATGTCTCCATTATTCATGACTCTGTAAGTCAGAGAGAAAAGTAGTTAGAACTGGAAGGGGCTATGCATTTGCTGTGCTCTGTAATACCCCCCAGACATGGAATTGGGGGGGGGGGAATTAAAACAAAAATATTTCAGATCTATTGCTTTCATTCGGGGAAATACATACTCATTATGTTCTTCAAACCAGAAATTACTATATCCCTCCTTTCTTTGAAGTTCTCTTAAATCTATTGCTATTCAGGGTCTCCATCCAATTTTTCACCAAATTATCCTATTTGTAGCTTCCAAATATTAAGACCAATGTGCTGGAGTGAAGTCTATAAAACGCCTCAGGGGCTTACACTGTGTGTGAGACAGAAATGGTACTTAAGCTCTTAGTGAAACGATGAGCTTTGGAAGTGTCGCATTTGGGGTTTATAGGAGTCTTCCTCTACTTCTCTCTCTCTCTCTCTTTTTTTTATTGGGGAGGGGGACGATGGAAGACCGTGGGGTGGGGAAATTCTCTTCACACACGTTATACCTGCCTTGTCTTCTCTTTTAAAAACACAATTTTTACGACTTGGAGATGTATGGACACTCCCCACGGCTCGCAGGCATCTGCAAACTCGGTGTGTGTTCCCGACTGACTCTCAGAGCAGTTCTTTTCTACGAGGTTCATGCTCGCAGGCTACAGAAGGTCTCTCCTGGCCTCATCGATCTTTCTCCCGAAAAAAAAAAAAAAGAAAGTGAAGAGAAACCGACATAGGAGGGAAGCACAGAGCGAAAAAGCGTGGAGAGGGTGAGAGGAACATCGGGATAGAGAAGAGGGAAAAGGGAGACCAGGAAGGAGCCGCTGGAGTCCAGACTGCGGATGAGGAGCCGACCGGGAGAGCCGCCCACTGGCCCCCGGGGCTGCCAATAGGGGCGTAATCCCCTCGGAATCTCTCCGGGTTTAGCTGGGAGCCACAGTGCCGCCTCCTCGCTCCCAGACGCCCGGGAAGCCCGGAGCAGCCAGCTCGGGGAGGAGGAGGGAGGGAGGGAGGGAGGGAAGAAAGGAGGGAGGGAGCGGAGGCCTGGAGGAGGAGGAGGACCCCGGAGGGAGGGAGGGAGGGAGGGAGGCGGCGCGGGGAGGAGGGGCGCCGCCGCCGAGCCACTCTCCGCGCTCCGCCGCGCTCCCCGCCAGATACTCGGGGAGCCCCAGCCGCGCGGAGCGCACCCCGCCGGGCTGCTCCCCAAACTTCAGCCGCAGCCGCATCCCAAGCCTTCCCGACTGATTCCCCCGAAAGGAAGCCGAGCCGCGAGGCTGAGCAGCAGCCCGCGGGGGAGTAAGAGAACCGCAGAGCGAGCGGAGCCCCGGGAGCAGCCTCCCCAGCGCAGCGGCTCCGAGGCGCCGGGAGGGAGCGCGGAGCCAACAAGTGAGAAGGCGGCGCGGCCCCGGGCGAGCGGAGGACCCTGAGCCGACCCGGAGGAGGCGGAGAGCGCCCCGAGCCGGAGCCGGAGCCGGAGCTCCCGACCCAGAGCCGGAGCTCCCAGCCGGAGCCCGAGCCGAGGCTGCAGCTGCTTTGCTCGGCTCCCTGATCGCGGCTGCGCCCGGTGCCGGGCAGGAGGCTTCGCGGCGCTCGGGCGGCCAGCGGCGGCTGCGGCCGGTCCTCGGGGAACATGGGGCGCGCCTGGGTCCTGCTCACCCTGGGCTTGGTGGCCTGCGTGGCGGCGGAGTCGGTGAGTGGGCCGGCGGGGGCGCGCGCGCGGGCGCACCGTTTCGGGGTGCTCCAGCCGGGAGGAGTCCGCAGCGCCCGCGGGGGCCGGGGAGCACCCCCTGAGGGTTCTCACGCCCACACCCCCGGACTCGGCGCTCGGGGACCCCCCCCCCCCCTTTCCCGGGCGCAATGGGCGCGCTCGCCCCCAGCCCTCTCCTTCCTGCCCGCAGCGGCGCCGCGCGCCCGAGTTGCCCCGCGGTCCCCGGGGACGAGGGCGCGAGAACCGCCGTTTTTGGTCAAACCGCAGAGGCCCCCGGAGTCACCGCCAACTGCTTCGCCTGCAGAGGGTCTTGCTCTGACCTCCCCCCTCCCTCCCCGGTTAGGACCTGGGGGGAAGGGTGGGAGCGGGGACCCCCGGGAGGCTTGCCGGGGAACCGGCCCCCTCCTCGCGCTCCTCGCCGCCGCGGGGCTCCCGGGAAACTTGGGAGCACCCCGTCCCCGCACCCCGTCCCCGCACCCGGTCCTCGCACCCGGTCCCCACGCCCGCTGTCCCCGCTCGGCTGCATCCCAGTTCGGAGGAGAGAGGGCCCGGGTGTGAGCCAGCCGCGTGTGTCGGGAGAGGAAAGTTTGCAAAAGTTCTTTTGTTTGATCTCCTCCGTGGCCGGGGCGAGGGGGGGGCGCAGACGGGACGTGGAGATGCTGCCCGCGGGGGCGCAGCCTGCGTGCCTGCGGGGGTTCGCCAAACGGCAGGGAAAGAACTGCTGCGATCCCGCCCTGCAGAGACCCCCGCATCCTCCTTGGAGAACCGAGGCGGCCCTGGCTCTCGGGGACGCGAGGACATGTTCCTGCTGAGGGCGCCGTGCAGGGCGAGGTGGATGCGGGGACCCCGCGCGGCCTCGGCTCTCCAGGCGGCCCGGGGCCCAGGCTCGCAGCCCGCCCGCCGCGTTCCCGTCGCGGGCCCCGGCGGGGTGCGCCCGAGGCCGGACGCCTCTCCTGCAGCCCGGGCGGGCAGTGGGCACTCGGTGTCCGGCTGTGGGCGCTCGGTTTCTCCTCCGGGTGCGTGTCCGCGGCTGGAGCTTGTTTCCCTGCGTCGCCCCGCGAGCGCCCTCTACCGGGGACTGTGTCCTGGGCTTTCCCTGGTGCGTGGCGGCCCCCACTTCCCCACCTACCTGGGCGCCGGGAGCTTTGTGGGGCGAAGCCCTAGCACCCCATTGCATTTCTGGGGTCTCGGTCAAGCAGGACGGCCCTTTCTGTTCCTTCTGGTTCCCCAGGTCCCCTCCCTTGGCCAGCGGGTACCGCGCCCATTTCTAATGAACGGAGGTGTGTCTGTCCTAGTAAGGAATGCCATCTTTAGCGGTGGGTGCTGTTTTCCCCTTTCTCCCCTTTTTTTTTTGAGCTGAGGCAATGGAGGGTTGGGAAACCTCCTTGGCACTGAGCAGCCAGCAGATGGGTGTTTTTCTCCTGGGCCGGAGCCTCTGTGAGGGCCAGCGGGTCCCCGCAGGGCCCGGGAGGCCGGAGGGCAGGCGGACTCACAGAGTGGTTGAGTATTGAATGGAGCGCAGAACCCAAATACTAAACCCGAGCCGCCTCCCAGTACTTTCCCTTTGGCACATGAGCTTGAATCCATGGGGGCTGGTGTCTGCCAGCCAGCGATGAACTTTGGCTTGTTGTGCGCACACACACACACACACACACACACACACACACAGGAAAGGGGAGAGATTCTCTGTTTGTTTCAGAAAAACACTGCTGCTCATCTGGTTGCAAAATAGGGCAAAGGGAGAGAGAGCTCCGTTGAAAGGTTTTCGGGAGAAGCCTGGCCTCTGAGCCCTACTAGGTTGAGGAGATCCTTTTTATTTTTATTATTATTATTATTATTATTATTGTTATTATTATTATATTTCCTGGGTTTACAAGGGATGTTACTATTTGGGGATTCTAGAAAAAGAGTGTCTCTCTCTGCTGCCTCTCGGGGTGTTAGCATCAGCTGGCTGAGCTGCACCTGTCCTCCCTGCCCAGGGGCACCTCTCCCCCAGACTCAGTGTTGGAGGGGAGACTCATTTCCAGCCAGAACCGTGTGCTTTTCCGAGTGAGCTGCTGCGGCCGATCCTGTTTGCAGTCACCGGAGTGCCATCCAGAAGCGGGCTTAGGTGTTTTGAAAACGTGAACTTGGAGGCCGTCGCTGAGCGTTCGTTAGGCAGTCCCCCATGGAAGCTGTTTCCACATGGGTCCGCTTCCATGACTTTTCAGTCCGGCTGTGTCCCGTCCATCCGCCGAGATGCACGCGGCGCTGAGAGATTTAATTTTTGAACGTTCAGCCATTCCGTTAGCACATCGTTTCCAGCACTCCACGTTTCTCCCTGAATACTGCTGTTTCCTGGGAGTTAGGCGCCGTGATCGTCGGAGCTTAAAACCTCTCTTTAAAAGGAAGAAAGAAAAAAAAAAAATGTCTGCAGTGAGTGAATTCTTTAGTTTCAACGAAGCCCAAGGGTAAAAAAAAAAAACAAAACAATTCTCAGGAGCCAAGGCTCCCAGCTGCCTGGGAAAAGGGACCGGTGGCCGGTGTGGATGCTGGGGACAGCAGGGACCGCCGGTGGGTGCTGATGCTTGGTCCTTGCCCCCGGCAGGGTGGGACTCCACAGAAGGCCGGGCGCGAGGGGACAGGCAGGCTATAGGGATAGGTTGTTGTTTCTCTGTTCTTTCTTTCCTCCCCCCCCCCCCCACGTGACTGTTTAGCTTTAGAAGGCATGTATTGCAGACTGTTACAAATGCATAATTGGAACTGGAAATATGTTTTCAAAAAGGAAGTGTTTTGAACTCGGGGGAGCTTTTTTAATACATCTACTTAGGAGTGTGTCAGTGAAAAGAAACTGTCAAGTCATTCAGACCTCTCGGGTGCGCTGTGAAAGGCAGGTTTTGGGAAGCTTGCAGGAGAAGGGGAAAATAAAGTGGGAACAATATAACCTTTTGCGGTGCTTTATGCGGTGCTTTAAAAACATACGCCTTGGCTGTGGGAGTAATGAAACAGATGACTTTTGCCGCGGGGCCAGGGCCCCTTTCTCTGGGAGCTGGGCAGGAGCCGCAGGTAGAGGTCATTTAAGAAGGGAAGAGCTTGTAAGATCAGGCTTGGCAGAAGGTGTGCTCTAAGACAGTGGTCGGCAAACTCATCAGTCAGCAGAGCCAAATATCAACAGAGCCAAATGACAACGATTGAAATTACTTTTTTTAAATTCCTTTTGAAAGCCACATTTTTAAAACTTAAACTATATAGGTAGGCACATTGTTATGAACTTAATAAGCTGGCCTTTGCTAAAAACTCAAGGGGCCAAAGAGCCGCAGGTGGCTCGAGAGCCGAGGAGGAATGTGAGTGTGCTCGCCCCCCTCCCACCCCCCCACCGGGGATGTGCCCGCAACCACTGAAATGCCCCTGACCGGAATCGAACCTGGGACCCTTCGGTCCACAGACCGATGCTCTATCCACTGAGCCACACCGGTTTTGGCAGGGACCCCTAGTTTTGATGGGGCTCACCTTTAGAAGGACTGTGTTAACATGATCACTGGAATAGTTTGGAAAGGATTTCAGAGAATCATCTAGATTTTTTTTTTTTCAAGTTCGGATTAGTCCTCATGTCATCAGAATCCCCCAGAGACCTGACTGGCCAGTTCTTAGGTGGCCTGCGGTCTCCTGAGGTTGGCAAGGCCCCTGAGGCTGACCCGGCCACACAGAGCTGAGCTTCCTTTGTCAGGAAGGCTTGTGGGGAGTCTGGTCAAGCCACTGGGCTGTGGGCATGCCAGCTGGCAGTGACCCAATAGGTCCTGCGAGGAATGTCACCTGCGTGTAGATTCTCACGAGAGTGGCCCTCCTCCGTTTCCTGAAGTCAGACGGAAAGATCTCACCCATCGTCGTCTTCCTCACCATTCATGCCCCTGGCCCACTGTCCCTTATAACGCCTCGAAATCACCGGATTCTTTCCTGGACCGGAAGCCAATATAAAGGCGACCAAATAAAAGCAGGAAATCATGAAGAAGAGCCTTTGCTGAAGACAAGAGTCTCTTGTCCTCGGTGCCTGAGCCGTCTCTTATTGTAGACTTTTGGACTTGAATCTTGAAGGCGCCCTTGACTCCCTTATCTCTGTTGACTTACACGGCCGGCTGGCCTCGGCGTCCATCCACCTGCCTGTTGTTTGTCCCGCAGACATTTGTCCAGCCCCCACGGGGCGCTCCGGAGAAAGCAGTAAGCAATCCCCGCTGTCTTTGGGGAGCTCTCCTTTCAGGGCTCCGGATAGTTTTCCCTTCCTGTGTCTCCTCCCGAGGGGCCTTGCCAGCTCCTCCTGCCTTCATGTCCGCAGCCTTGGAGTTGTCCTTCCTGGCCCAGAGGCTCCTTGGCTGTTTGATGTATTCTGTGTATCACTCTGATCGTGTTACCCACGCTCCATGAACTCCGTGTGGATCCTTGTGACCGTGGTGTGGGGCCTAACGATCTCTGCCAGATTGAGAAGATGCTCCATAACATGCTCCTTCCGACTTACACCCCCTGGATCCCTCTGGGTCATGTTTATGGGCCGTGGCCAGCCGACCAGCCTCCCTGTCGTCAATGCTCCTGGGACACGCCCTCCTCCCTGTTTCTCCTATTTTTTAAAAAAATATATATTTTATTGATTTTTTACAGAGAGGAAGGGAGAGAGATAGAGAGCTAGAAACGTCGATGAGAGAGAAACATCGACCAGCTGCCTCCTGCTCATCTCCTACTGGGGATGTGCCCGCAGTCAATGTACATGCCCTTGACCGGAATAGAACTTGGGATCTTTCAGTCCACAGGCCGACGCTCTATCTACTGAGCCAAACCGGTTTCGGCTGTTTCTCTTTTTAAATGCTGCTGCTTCAAACTCAAGTCTCACACAGCTTAACACGCATGATCCATGTTCCCTTCATCTTCCCGTCAACAGGCAGACTGAGGGTCAGGATCTCGGTGGACGTGGGTAAAAACACCTCTCAGATCGACACCATCAGAAACCTGGAGGG